AGGGAGATGCTGAAGGCAGGGAGGAAGCAGAGGGACGCGGACATCTTCGCTCCCCTAATTTCCTCCCTGCCTTCTGCAGCCATTTTGCACCAGCAAAGCTGAAGGGAGGTGTTAGAGGGGAGGGAGGGGGTGGGCTGCAGAGGGTGAAGGCAAGAGGGTAAAGAGTTACGGAGAGCAAAGAGGCAGCCATGGGAGAGCCCGGCTGGTACGTCTGCTGAGACTGGCTCACGGCAGCAGCTGTCATCAGCATCATGGTGAAAAGGAAAAGCTCAGAGGGCCAGGAGCAGGAGAGCGGCCGTGGCATCCCTCTGCCCATCCAGACCTTCCTATGGAGGCAAACCAGGTAAGAGCAGCAAGCCCTGGGTACTTGGGATACAGCTGCAACAGGGCAGTGGAAGTGGGGAGGGGGGGCAGGCCAGCCAGCTGCTGCCCAGTGGCGGGGGGGGAGCCGTTACTGCAGCTGCAACATGAAGGCGTGAAACAAGCTGCTCTCTTTGCACTCAATAAAGAGCAATCTGTGTGTATCGGGGATGGGGGAAGGACTGGAGGCAGCTTAACCTAGTGGCAGTCCCAGGCAGCTTCTTCATTTGACTTTAAAACATCCATGTGTATGTGTGTCTACGCACCTCTCCCCTCCTCCCTGTCCTCTGTCCCCCCAACCCCCACTTTTAAGAGGACTCCTGGAGCTCTGGTACCAGAAGCAGCACCCCTCAGTGCTGCACCAGACTTGCAGCTTTGCTTGTGTCTGTATTTGCAGCCGTTCTGGAAGTGTAATCAATGCTTTGAGAGGTCGGCATGCAAACAGATATGTCAAAGTCTCACCTTATTTCATTGGACTGGAGAGTAATGATGTGTGAGGGGCAAGCTGGATGTATGGCTGGGACTTTATGTACCTTGTGAATCCTGTCTTAACATAATTCTAAACTGAAAACATTGCGGAGGCTGTGGGGGAAGGTTGGAAGGTTTGAAGGTTGTGGCTCCAATTTAAGGCCTCAGTCACAAAATCCCTTTATTCCACAGTTTCAGTGTCCTCAAAAAAAAAAAAAAAAAGCTGTAATAAAGTAACCTGATTAATTTTTTTTAAATATTTAACTCTGATCCCATTCTGGAGGGGAATGACAGTAGAGGGTGGGTGTTCTCTACCTACAGGGTACAGGCCTGCATTTCATCACAAGCCTTCCACATCAGCAGTTGTGGAGGAAAATACTTAATACAAAACTGGCAAAGGGATCTCTGGCTTAAAATAGAGGCAAGGCAAAGTTCAGTAATACTTAACACATTTTAAACAGAATATACTGAAAATCTTTCAGTGAGGTAAAATGGCTGAAAACTGTCTGATAGAAGATTTTATCCATGGGGAACAGGACTTTTCTTGAGGGTGGATTAACTATCTCTTGGCATATCAGTGTGGGTACTTCTGTCTCTAGAAAAGGTAACAGTGTTTTGTCAGATATCATCAACAGGTATCTGAACATTGTTTTGGCCTTATGTCTTCCTTTTTACATAGATTCTCAGCCTTTTGCCAACCTTCTGACATGAGAAAAAACCTAAAAATAACTAAGCAAAATCCACACTTGATGTACTGGGTCTCTAATGCTTTTTCTCCCTTCCTTCAGTGCATTTTTAAGACCTAAACTGGGGAAACAATATGAAGCTTCCTGTGTGGTATGTACATGTTTCTCTTTTTCAACTCTTATTAGTAACTAACTTTTCATGCAACTTGATCTGACCATGGTGGCTGATCAGCAAGCTTCTTAGCTTATGCCAGAAGTGGATTTAGTCCATTCAGCTTAATTTTGTACTTTTATCACATGAAGGATTTGAAACCTTTTCCCATCTAGAGAATTTGGATATCGTATGCATCTCTAGACACAACAAAAATATATTGATTTGGATATTAGTAATTGAACTAATTAGTAATTAAATAAAGTAAATAATGGTATGGGCAGACTCAGCTATGACAATCTGGGTCTGAACTTGCAGTTCATCATGTGCGTATGTGCTTTCAGATGAGATTGATGTAATTTCAGTTTGCGACTACTGGAGTTTTTTCAGACTTAAAATATTGAAAATACAAACATTACTAACAGGCTTTAAACAATACTTTTACCATTGTGCAAGACGAAAATACCTCCTTTCCTGGAAAATAGAGGGAGCATGTCTTAAAGAGAGGTTATTATGCAGATACTAATAACTCTTATTTCTAACTGTATTTTGAATGAAACCTCAATCTGTTGTCTAAAGGGAGGAGAAAGGGAAGGCATGCAGCAAGTTCAAATAAGATGGGTATCCAGGGAATTTCAGAATTCTTTGAACTGTTACTGATCTTTGGATGACTTAAAGTACATTAAGCAGTTGCAGCCAAACTTGACAGACTGGAAAAACTTGGTCTGGACGTGTATCTTAATAGTTTAAAGTACTTAGGTCTCTCTGTAGCAATTTTCTGCCTTCCTTCTCACAAGATATTAAGCTGGAGAAGCCCCAGCTGCTGCTGACTGATTTTCTTCTAAGAAATCCATAAATTTTTCAGGGTTATTGCTAGATACCAAATACTGATAGAGGACTGCTGGCTTAGTGTGTTGGTGAGTAAAATGTACTGCAATTCTGGCACATAGAGCAAAAAGCATCATCACTGGTTTATACAATTGACAGTTCCTGGTTGTTCAGAGGCTAGAAAATGGAGCTTGTTGCCTTATGTCCTTTACCAGTGGTCTCAGCAGTATGCAGGAGCCATGCCTTGAAGCACCTATAATCTGAGGCTGTGGCCCCATCTGTGAGCTAATGTCTGTTACTGTTGGGTAGAGGGACAGAGCTTCCTTCTCTGTGCGTTCTCCATGATGTACCTATTTGTCTGTGACTTCCTTGTGCTTCATGCTCTGCTGTTGGCATCAGGTCTTCCTCTATGTCCCCCAGGCACCTTTCTTCTATGAGCACATATCAGAATTTACTAAGTGTAAAAAAAAACCCCAACCCAAAAAACCCAAAATAAACCCCAACCAAACAAAAAAACCCAAATCCCCAACCCTCCCCCCCTCACCCCCCCTTTATTTTTGCAAGACAAAATAAATCACACGCTTCAGCCAAGGGAAAAGAAGCTCTGGAAAAATGCATTTCATGGAGATCCAATCCGTTTCCACCCCTTGGATGAAGGAGAACTTGATTCTTCTCCAATTCTTAACATAATCATTAAATTATGGTAGAAAGCTTTCAAAGGTAGGGCTTAGTTTTGAGCAACTGATGGGTTACAGCCTGAGCTGCTGCATCTGCCACCTTCTTTTGCTCATCAGTTTGCTGTCCCTGCCAATGCACAGGAATGTCTGCCCACACCAACACCTACCCCAGTGGGGTAGCAGAGTACTGCATGCATGGGTGAGAGAGAGTTCCAGAAACTTGACAGGTAGTTGGCTTGTCTTTTGAAACATCAAGCTGACTATCTAACACCACTGTACTGACTAGTGTGCCTAAATATACTGTGCACCTGTTATATGATCTGTCCTTTTAAAATTCTCCAGCCAAAATTGTTCTGGGCAAGTCTATAGGCTGTTAACTGTCTGACAATGCATATGACACAACATTGTGCAGTATTCTATTATTATTCTTGGCTCTAAGCTTGCTGTAGTAGAATTTGCTGCATATTGTGCACTGAGGAAGCAGATGCTGGAGGCCTAGATTCAGTGAGTACAGCATCTGGTCTGCAAGAGCAGATTGCATTGCTTCTTTGAGCTTTGCTTTATACTTTAATACTTGAGAAAAAGCCTAGCTCTTTCATGGCCTTGTTTTCCTTACCTGAACAATCACACTGACTTCAATTGGTCTATGAATAATAGCTTTTAATCTGAAGATAAACCCCCCGCATTATCTTACACTGTCTAAATGCACTTGTGCGTCAGTATGGATTTAATGTTCTTCCTTCTCCCCATTCTAAAGTTCTTCTGCCCTGACACAATGTCATTCCTAATGTGCATGAGTCAAAGATGTAAATGACCTCACAGGAACGTGTGTGAGTGCTGTACAAAGGTAATGCATTTTTTGGGGTGAGGATAAGGGACTCAAGGATATGTTTTAAATTCTTTTACTCTGGAATGCATTGGGCATGGAAGAACCCAGAAGTTTTCTGGAGGATCCTGCAAATTCAAAGTTTACCTCTTTTCTGTTTTTTTACTTTTTTTTGCAAATGTAGTAATAAGTTTTGTTGTTATGAATGATTAAAGGATAGATATGGAACAAAATTTAAAAAGAGGCCACCTTTATTTTATCTAGCCAATGGACATGGTTGCAGAAAACTGAGTTTTTGAATGTGGGAATTTTCTGTAAATAAAATGCTTGGCATCTGTGTTTCATTGCTTGTCAATGTTTGCACTATTACTATGTTTAGTAAACAATGGAGCCTTACCACCCCTTGTGCCATGAACTCCTAGATTAATGTTTTAGATCTTTCTAGGAACTGTCCCCTACTCAGAGTACCTTCCCCAAACTGACAATACTGTCTGCCTGCACTTCAAGCTCTTTTCAGTCAGTCTGAAGTGACTTCAGCAATGGTCTCTGCTTTCCACCATGATGCAGCCTGAGCTTTGGAAGAACAGGGCAATAAAGTTCCCTCTGAGGACAGAAGTCTGGTTTAAGAAGCACTAATAGTTTCTCTCTGTCTCTGCCAGGGTCCTTCTGTACATACACCAGGCTAAGCACTGGGCCCCGCTCTCCTAGCTTACTACTTTTTTTTTTTTTTCAAGTGAGATCCTCTAGGGCTACTTCGCTGGAGGAAACCTGCAGCTCATCTGGAACAGGGGGGTGCTGAGCTTCCCAAGGTCCTGGCTGTCTAGTAGGGGCTAGAGGCCTGGCTGAACCCTTGCTGCCTTATGCAGTTCACTGCAGGTACAGCTCCCCTGGGCTTAGAGCAGGGGCAGTTCACGTGACTCGAGGAAAGCTGTATAGGAAACCATGGCAAAGCCCAGCCAGAGTCTGCTCTGTCCTGTTCTGCTTGTCTAGGCTTCTTCAGGCAGCCACCTGTTCCCATTCCAGCAGCAAAGTGACACACAGGCTGACCGTGATCACAAGGTATTTGACAGTCCCTTTGGTTCTTGGTGGAGAAGAAGGTAAAAGGAGAACAGCAGCAGTGGGAAGGCAGCCAGACAAGACTGACCGCCACTCCCTGTGAAAACAGATGGCATCACCAGGGTAAAAGGAAAAATGCTTGTGTAAGTGGCCCCAAGGGAGCTGAACACACACACACAGAGCACCGCTGAAAGGGGCTGCCCTTTCTCCAGCCAAGGCATAACACTGACTTCCCTCACTACCACCTTGGCAGATGTTCTTTATCCTCCTTTGGCACGTGGGGTGTTGCAGGCACAGACAAGCCTGCTATAAGTAGGCAACTTTTCTTAGCCAAGCAGCAGCCCTGAGGCTGCAGCTACAGACATACCCATAGCATGACAATATCTCTCTTCTGCCTGACTTACAGGGAGCTTACTTGAGACATTCTCATTCAGCCTTCTTATTGAAGCATGTAACTCCTCTCAACCGTAGTAGCAGTTGCCTAGTTCATGTGGGGTGAAATTAGGTCTTTCAACTTAATCTCTGTATATTCTCTGTAGCACATCCTGAAAGTTAGAGTAGAGCCATAGCAGACAAAAAGGGAGGCTCTACAGGAGCAAATGCTAACCCAGCGCCTTGCGTCTTGAACGTCTGGTGTGGGCAGAAGCTGCTGTGAGCTGGAGCTTTATCGAGAACTCCAGGCAAATCCCATGGGAACACTTGTCCAAAGAACTGCATGTTCTTGTTGGGCTGCTTGTGACAGTTATCAGTGTGGGGATTGATGTCTGCCAGGTTCCGTGCTGACAGTACATGCACAGTGGCAATTGTGCACCAGCCAGTACCCGTAGCACACAGGGACACTTGGTGGTTTCCATACAGTAGCCTTTGTGTTAGCATTTTTCTGGAAACATACAGTACTTCTGTCTCAGATGCTTGTGATCACATATGCTGTTCTGGAAGCTAATCTTTCATTGTGGTACAGAAATATATTTAGCTTTCTGCTCAGGCCAGGAAAAAAACAGAGGAATCTTGTGGCTAACCATGTAGGAAAAGCTTCATGTTGCTCAGAAACCCAAAATGTTGAGGTGAATACAAGCCTAATTTAAAGACCTAATTGCAGACTTCTTGGCTTCCTCCTGAGTTTCTGAAGTATGCAGAATGTGGGCCAGAGCTTCCAGAAGGCAGCTGTTGGATGACTTTCTCCCTGATGCCATTGAAGTACCCGTGAATGAGACCTTGAATGGAAAGGCAGAGAGCAGCAATGTGTCTTCCATCACGCTTCAGAATAGTGTTGCTGCTCACAGTGATTATTTTTTTTCCTCCCCTTGCTCTGTAAACTGAATAGCTTTGTCACTGTACTGAAGTGTGAGCTTATGGTTTGGCTTTTCTACTAGAGGTGAGAAGATAATTTCTTTCAATAAGCCTAGGTCAGCATTGGTGCTTGGCAGGCCTTTCAGTGAGCTAATTCATCTCACTAACCTGATAGAAACTACTTACCTCTATGCTGAGCTTCATTTTGGCTTGTGTAGAGGCTTGACTTGGCTGAATGAAGGCTTCAGTGAGCCCCAGAGCTGATGCATGGGTAGAGGTGGGAGTGTGTGGCTGGAGCAAAAAATAAGGAGTGGCACCCTGTCCCCTTTTGACAAAAATAAATAAAATCTCATGTCTTTCACTGGCTCTTTCAGACTTTGTGTTTTTTGTAATCATGCATTAAACCTGCACCTCTTGTCTTGCTTCTGGGGATACTTTGCTGCTTTGTTCTCCCTTTTTGTTAGGTAACCTTGTCTGGGATAGTTCTTCTAGACCTCTGTTGTCTTTATACTAATGTGCTCTTGACTGCTACTGTGGTTCAATGACTTTGTAGTTCCTGAATGGAACAGAATACTGAGACCTTCCAACGAGTACTTCGCCCCCTCACCTGCCAAGGCTTTCCAAGCATCGGCCATCCCTTCATGTTTCCCCCATTCCTGAACTGATAGGAATGAATAGCAGGAGACCATTTCCCTTTGTAGACAATGTGGCCCCCAGCAGATTGCTGTAAGAGTGATTTGGGGCATCCTTTCCCTGGTAGACATGTTATCTGATCCTGATGCTAAGAAATACACATTGCTGACAACGTAATCCATGGCACATTATTTTTGACTAATCCTCAGGAAGCCAGCATTTTTGTCCACATATTACAACTAATGCCCTCCAATTTCAGCCATTGCTCCATAAAGAAAGTCTATTGAGTTTTCTGACTAGAACCTGGGGTTTCTAGTAGGTGGGCAGTGTGACTTTCTACACAGTTATGGTTGTTGGCAGCTCTGATGTTGATTGTCGGTATTTCCTCAGGTTCAATTTGTGTTGCTACAGGCTTAGTATATATAAGCATACTCAGTTCTGAATACCCCCCAAATACATCTGTGTAAATCATACAGTCCATCTCCCCTTCTCTTTGTCTATGCCTGGTGCTATTGGGGAGTTTCTGTCTTAGGTTGTAAGTACAGTGTTTCTCTGCCTCCATGCTGGCCAGAGCGGAGCTGTTATGGGAATGCTATAAGCCCACGATGGTGTGGCACTACGCTTGCACCAGGGCATCCTGCCTCTCGATGGAGGAGCTCATGTCTGCCCACACCGGCAGATGTGGCTGCGACCTGAGAGAACAAATGTGCGCAGCTGCTGGGGTATGCAGAAGACTGCACGTTGCCACTGGTTAGTATGCCACACCTGGGAGTGGCTGGTTGTTTAGGAGAGCTAGGTTACGACTGCTGCCCTTTTTGCTTTTCTTCTTTGTCATTAAGTCTGTTCTTATTACCTCCCCCCTCCAATTTTACAGGAAAAATCAGTATGACTAGTGTTGAAGGATAAGCTTTATGAATCTGGAGTTAGGGCATTTGAAGCATCCGTTAGGTCATGAATGCCAACAGTTACTTGTTTGCCCAGAGCCTGATAAAATTGGTGAAACAGCTTGTGAACAAATAGGTAGCCAGGAGGCTAAGCTGGTGTGTGGCAAGGATATGCATTATCAGTAATGTATTTCTTCGCTTTAGGAACTACAGTGAAGGAATGTAACTATTTTTTGACCTACAATGAGATCTTTGTATCTGGTCAGAGGAAGAACTTATTGAAATGGTTGGAGCAACTAGCAATAAGGAACTTCCTTAGGGATTTCAAAGGCAGATAGTCTTATTTTGTGTTGGCTGAGGTGGAAATAATGAACTTGCAGCCATCAGCTCTTTTAAGTGTTCACAAAACCATTACATCATGGTTCGACAAAAAATTTTGTACACTGATTATTTTTTGTGGCAGGGTGTGAAAACATTCCCTAAGGCCCATATACCTTTAATGGGTTGCCCTTTATGTTACACTAAACTGAATGAGCGTGTGTATGTGTGAGAAGAATATCCAGCTCTCAGCTCCACAAATACAGGCTTCATTAGCTCCTGTGACTTCCAACAGGATTACCGGCATGCCAGATTAATACCCAGCACAACTGTAAGTCTGTCTTGATGTCGGCACTTACTAATATACACGATACTTGCTTTAATTCTTATTACAGGAAATATATTGAGTAGCCCATTCATTTCTTAGCCAAGTATGTCCATATGTCTGGTGAGCTTTAGCTACAGTCTGTGTCTTTCAGGAAAAATATTCTAAGGTGTGCTTTAGTTATATAATGAAAACTTACAGATTACGGGTTTTTAAAAGAGAATGTTATATGTACTAGAAGGTATGTGCAGAAATAATTATACAGCGTCTGTTTTTCTTTTTCTTACTTTTAGTCTTTTGAAAGAGTTTTAGTAGAGAACAAGCTGCATGGCCTTTCTCCAGCTCTCTCTGAAGCTATCCAGAGCATTTCTCGCTGGGAACTTGTCCAAGCTGCGCTCCCACATGTGCTGCACTGCACCGCAACATTGCTCTCCAACCGAAACAAGCTAGGTTAGTGAGTTTGTTTTTCCATTACTGAAGCTCATGTGAGTTTGTTTTTCCATTACTGAAGTTATCAGTCAAAATATGACAGATTGATGCTCAGGGTGCCAACATGTTCTACATCGTAGAATCCTAGTTAGTTCATTCTGTGGATTGCCTTTCTTGATGTGTTCTCATTTATAGCAGGGTAACCCGTGAGAGCTTCCCCAGTGAAGTTAATGGTCTGGTGAGCTGAAGAGTGAAAGTAGTTCAATAATATTTTGCTAGTTATTTTCCAGAGATAATAGAACTAGCTTTATCAAAAGCCTTACCACCCAGCAGGCATGGGTTCCTTGAAGGAATACATGTTTCTTTCAAGGCATGGTGCAGTGCCCAATTGCAGCAAGGTACTTTTAATATCTTCAATTCTTATTTTTTTTCCTCCTTCTTTTTCTTTTTATTCACACTAATGCGTTTGATTTTCAGCAGATAAGTCAATCAGATAATAAGGATAGGACCAGGTCCAAATCTAACTTACTTTACTAGTCTTTCTTTTACCAATTTC